GTCTGATTAAATTGATTTCCTAAAACGTAATCATCTGCTGTATTGCCTAACTGCCCACACTGTAACTGAAGCTGTAAAGGAACTTCTAGGGTTAGAAACACAGCACAAGTATAAGTAAGTGCTAACTGGGTGCCCATACAGTAGGTGAGGAACGATTCTTATTCACAAGCCTGTAGACGGGCTCAACAACTTGTTCCTCAAAGACAATGTAAAATTGACACTTAATAACAAAGTATGTCTGTCTTGTCTTTCAATCCATTGTCTTCCGTTTCTGTGTGTGTGTGTCCTTTACTTTTATCTCTGCACCAGACCATTGACATTTAAATGTGTTAATCTCGTCACACCACAGTTCTTCTGTTATCTCTCTTGTCAGGGATTTAAAATGTGAGAACAACACAAAGAGACATTGTTATCTTGAATAAGCAAAATCAGATTTGTTTTCCCCAAAACCTGAGCTGGAGGCCTCTGCACAGTGCTTCCTCTCACAGCCACAGTGAGACACACACAGGCAGCAGACAGCTTAGCCCTGAAAGTAGGCCAAGGGTCACCGCTGCTTGTGAGCATGAATGTGGGTCGGTCTTTTGAAAAGTAAATATAGCTGGAGCTACTCTAAAGAGACAGCAGCTAGAGGAATTTACTGCCAACAGCCAGGAACTGTAGGGCTACAACTAGTGTTCGCCCAACCTATAAGGCATTCATATGGTTTGTCACTGCAATAGTCAACAAGCACTTTCCAGCTTTGTGGTGTCTGATTGTGAAGCTCTGTCTATACAAGTCCCATTGTGGAGTAAAGTAGAGAGGATCAACAAGCGTGCATGTGTGGCACGGGGACAGAACATTGGTTTGAGATGGCGTCTGGCTTATAGAAATAAAGTACTATTTTATTCCATATCAATGAAACAGATAAATACACTGACATTTATCTGAGGTTATGTTTTCAGTAATGAGGGTGAAACTGATTTCAAGTAGATTGGCTTTACTTTGTTCACATGCTGATGGCTTCAGTCGGGGGCGGAGGTCAAAGTCTAAGCAACATGATCACAAGTTTCTTAGGTTCATTTGTAAGCAGTCATGTTTTTATTCACCGTGTGGGAGTTCAGAGAGCCAGCTGAACAACAGTCTCAATTTTCATGACACCTCATACTCGCCTTCTCAGATGGCGAAAGTCAGCAAAATGGTTACAGTTGCACTGAAGCGCCGTCACTTTCCACTGAACTGTGTGATGAAACCAGTCATGAACTCTTTGCCGGGAGCTTACACATTGCTGAATCGTGCATATCACAATGCCAGGTCATGGTGGATGAAGGCCTGCTCCCAGATCATTTTAGAGCTAAAAGGAATAATAGATTGTGTTACCAGTGATAGGGGAGGTCAGTATTAGAGGATGGTTTAAAAAAGAAAATTGACATAATACTAATATGTTTTCTATTGTATTTATAGAATGTTTTTTAAGACACTCAAAGACGCTTTACGTGATAAATTCAGTGAATAAAAAAGAACATAGAAAACCAAAACACAATACAAATGCTGGATAGGATATCGATTCTCTCTTTTGACCAATGGGCATTAAATGTGTTTTCTCTCCACATATTTACCCTTTCTGTCCCTTTCTTCCACCACCCCCTTTACTTCTACACTCTTTCACCCTCAACCCCTCCCTACTTCTAGATGTGGTGGCACAGTGGGCGCTATTTTGACTTGTCCTCTGGAGGTTGTGAAGACAAGGCTGCAGTCCTCTTCCATCACTCTCTACATCTCTGAAGTCCAGCTCAGCACCGTCAATGGAGCCAGTGTGGCCCGTGTCGCTCCACCTGGGCCTCTGCACTGTCTCAAGTAAGGAGAATGACGCTGAATGTTAATTGTAATTTAACTTTACTTTATTGAAGATAATTTCAAAAAGGAACAACAGCAAGGTTAGTGTTGATTAAGTACAGGGTAGGATACTTATAGCAGCCAGATTCTGAGCAAACCTTATTAAACAATATATTTATTAAACTGTCAGTCAACATTGTTTTATGAATATCATGTGGGATTTTATACTATTGCGATACAGCTATAGTGTTAGCTTCATGATATATCTGAACTTACTTTAGCTGTGTGAAATGAAATTAATACTATAGTAGCGATTGTTTCTCAAACTGTAGTGTAAGCTCACAGATTAGTACCCACTACAATGACGGATTCACCTTATTGCCACACAATGTGTATTTATCCTATTGGCCAACCCATTTGGTGTATGTGGCCAATATGTGGCCAATATGCTGCCACAAACTGGAAACTGTTTGCAGAAATGGTCAAGTTGCCGCAGGGATCAGGTTTCTAAACAAGTTTTTTTTCATTTCTGTTGAATTTTGTTTTAACAGAACTACTTGTTTTGTGTTTAGCAAGCTACAGAATCTATAACCTGTGGCTGTTTTTGGTACTTTCTCTAGACACTTTCTGGGAAACCAGTGTAAAAAAATACACAACACATTATTCCTTTTTTGCCACACGATAAGCCATTCCTCTTCTCATTAGACAGTGGAAAGTTACCAGATGAGAAGTGAGAGCGTAGGGGAATCCAACATTGGTTAGATGTTTATTTGAAACCTACTGAAGGCCAATCTGGCTGGGTGCTCATAATTAATGTCACTCAGGGATTAACAGTGTTAGCCATGTTGAAGTAAATATTCAACATGGCTGCAGTGCTCTGCTCCTGCACTCAGGTTACCTATTTCAACAATCATCACAAAGCCTGTCACACAGTGTTAAACATATTGCATAATAAAGTTGCTATGTGTGGAATTTTCCACAGCCAAATGTGTGCACTAATTATGTTGCAAATTAAGGATTCTTGGGGCAAACCTCTTATGTTTTACTTCATATCTCAGAAAAAAGGGTGCACTTGCACAGTTAGAATAGACAATAGAATACAAAGTGGTTAACCAGCCTTAAAGACTTTGTTAACAGTGCTGTCTTCGGGATTTTGTTTCATAACATAAATAACGCCCTCTTTGGATTTAACTTAATCAGGGCATTGTTTTGGGCTCAACATTGGTCTTGTGCCGACATAAACCAACTTCTTGTCCTGTCCTTGAGATAAACAGCCACTGGCAGAAACTGTATACCACTATTACATGATACAGAGTAGAGCAGGGCAGAAGAGGGAAGAGCGTTATGGCAGGGAAAGGAAAAAACCCACACGAGTCAAAGTGGGTCAACATGCACTGAGGTGCGGGGACTGTTCCATTTTAGAGCAGAGTATGTTAACTAATGATTTACACTATCAGTCCAAGCTCTGTGTCTTTTGTAAGTTTGGGCAACTCTGTATCTTTGAGGAGATGACGTGTACTGTAAATCAAGTATTTCGCTGTGAGCAGAAGTTGACAAAATGGCACAGCCTTCAAACCCACAAGCTGAATAAATATGCAGCTGCTTACATAGCTGCCCCAAGAAAGATAGGGTCTCTGTTTTAGTTTTAATTATGTGGGACTGCTCAAGTTGAGCTACCATCATAAGAATTTAATCTACCCCAAAGGACAAGTTTATTATTTGGCCCAAGGGACCCTTGTCTTTTGGGTCTCTTATTTTTTCCCAGGATGACCTGATGCTTTGCTTTAAATGTGCTTTGCATCACAGTTTATGTGAAAACGTGACACAGAATTAATGAAGGTGAACTATAAGCCCTGCTCATTCTGAATGAGGTTACTGGGTTAGATCCTTGAACTCCGGAAACGAGCACACCTGAGCCGTCATGATAACGCCACTATAACCACCACCAGAGCAAGGGCACCTGTCATTTTTTATTTTGGGTCTTCCAGTATGTTGATAGTGACCCTGTGTATAATGCCAGGCTATTTTGAGTGTCAGATCCTGGCAGATGGCCTAAAGGTCTAGTTTACTGCTCCATCTGCTTTTGGATTTAGATATAAATTGAGCTACAGAAATCTTGTGCCAAATGAAATTCAGTCTCTATGGTTTGACCACTGCAATTTGGTAGATTTCTTTTGTTTACTATGGTGCCTGTGCAGTAAACATGAAGCTAGCTCCTGGCATTGTGCTAAGATAAGCTGATCAGCTACTGGTGTTAGCTTCATATTCAGCATACAGGCATTTGTGGTATTGATCTTTTCACGTAACTCTCAGCAAGAAAGTAAATAACCAAAATGTCAAAATATTCCTTTAAAAATAAAAGCAATGCAGTATTCTTTTTAACATTATGGTTTAAAGTTTATGAAATAACAGTTCTGATAACACCTGCATGCACAGTGAAAGAGGAAGAAACAATCCTATAGATAGTATATAAAGAATATTACTGTATGCTTGCACTGTATTGTGGAATAACCAAGCGAACGTGAACTGAAAACTCAATCTCTCTCTGCAGGTTAATTCTAGAGAGAGAGGGACCTCGTTCACTCTTCAGAGGACTTGGACCCAACCTTGTGGGTGTGGCACCTTCCAGGTATGTACAGTATTATCTAGAGTATTCTGGGTGTGTTGCATGTCTTCTCCTTCCTAGCTTAACCTTTGTCAAGCCTTATACCTTGGAAATATACAGGTTGAAGCCAAAAGAAAGACAAAGTAAAATAACCTATACTTGAATATCTGATAACCAACACGATAGAGTAGAATCACCTACCAAACCTTCAGAATGAACTACTTTTACTAGAGAATAAAGGCATTTCTGCCTTCAATCAAACCAGGGCACACATTTTTATTAAGGAATGTATTTGCTTCTGCTAGAGCTTTTGGCCCATTTAGAGTTCATGTTGGCAGCAGTAATAACAGGCCACAAATACAGAAATAAATGGAGTTAAACTCACGGAAATGCAGTGGAAATCTGTACTTCAAAACCTGCCGGAAATGAGTAGGTTCCCTATTTCTTAGCTTAGCTGGTTAGGGTTGCGTAACAGCCTGAGCTCAGTCAATCAAAGTCTGAATGAAACAGCAGCAACAGCTGGCACTGGGCAGCTGTGACACTGTCACCATGTGACTGGTGTCGTGTATTATTACAATGGACTTCCTATATTGAGAGAGTTGTGTTTGGCTCTAATCCTCCTCTCTGACATGTCTAGTTTTCCCTAGCTACTGCTGCATCACATGGCTATTGTCATCCTCTTTCCGCTGGTTCGTTGTGGTCTCTGTCTCTCTATCTGAGTCATCTTCTCCACGCTCTTATCCTCCTGTCTCTGTCCCCTGCCATGTTTGTCATTCTTTGCCTATATCAATTCAGAATTGTTATGTCTCCTGGGTCCTTCACTGTCTATGCTGTCTCACTCTGTCTGGCTCAGACTTTCTGAGGAGCGAAAATGCCCATGGGGGGGTGTGTGTGTGTGTGTGTCTGTCCCATGGGCAAGTTGTCCAGCTGTGGAAGTAGCAGCTTGGGTCCTGGTCACGACACCTATAGCGAGCTGTGTTAAAGGAAGATGCTGTTACATAAGAAGTGAACATTTCTGCTGTCTTATGTGCAGTTTTAGAGTCATGTTTTCCAATATTCCCTATATATTGAAATATTAAAATTCCTTTTCTTTTTGTATGGGTCCACTGCCACATCAAATGAAAGATTCAGGACACCTTTTTATCATTTTATTCATTGTTATTTTAATTCACAATGCTTTACTTGGTATCTGTGGAAACTTGAGGATCTAGAATTGAAAATAAATTTTGATGGGCATTAGATGTGGACATTTTCGTATTGTTGGCTAGCAGCATAGCAGCCTTGTTTTTTTTTAATGCTGCTGGTGCGCTATACGTATTGATTTGAGTACAAATGAAATGTCAATAAATGAAAAGACTTAGAGTTATTTGCAAAAACTCCTTCATTAAAGTTTTTCAATTGGTTTGTCAAGAGTCATTTTAAAATCATGGCCGAAGTACTGCAGGTTATTGATAATCAATGTCAGCAGAGTTATTGTAGATACAGTCAGTGGAATATTCCAGTTTTAAGCATTTTTGGCAATGTAAGATGCAACGTTTCCAATCCATTTAATTTCAGTCAAATTTTGATAACGTATAAGCTTCCAATGCAACATAATTGAATGAAATAACAGATTTATTACCTTATTTAACTACGCAGGGAGATCTGGGTTGCTGGGCTACTGAGTTATTCTCTCCTGTTATAATTAAGAAACAGCACTCTGACGATGGAAACCTAAAAAAAGCTTCTGATGCTAATGAGAGCACGGTCTACCGAGCATGCTGCTGGCGTTCATTTGCAGCACACATAACACATGTGCATACAGATCAGCTTACACTGGCAGCATCACTCGTTATATACGTATGAGAGAGGCACATACACATAATTCCTCTCTCATCTGCACTGCAGCATGATTATATTGTGCATGCATGCTCTCAATTCAGAATGAGGGCTGGGAGGGGGGGGGTCACTGGGTTTAATTCCACTCAGCAGAAATGTTGACTAAATCCTGTGATTTTATTTAGAGAGGGGAAGCTAAAGTCATTGGAGATCAATCTGCTACTAAAGTGCGCTATGCAATTGAGATGCTCGGACACACGCATGCACACATGCATGCACACACACGGGCACAGATAACTCTTTCCCTGGCTTGCTTTTGGACTACATATTAGCTTATCCCTGCATCCACTCATGTACAGTTTAGGCAGTGTTTTATTTAAGGCAATTGAAATAGCATTTTCCTATTTAATACAGTTAACTTAATGCTATTACTTTTATATAAATCATGCAATTATATAATTTGTTTGTATTTTTAGTTTAATTAACTAATGATTCCAGTTAATGTTTTTTTATTGTATAGTTGAATTCATGAATGCCCTTCATTCATTTTTCAGTCGCAAATTTACCAATTTAATCAATGATACATGTAGTCAAACTAAAGAAGCTAATTGTTTTCTCCAGCTGTTTCCCTACTAGTTAGTTGTAGTTAATCCTAAGTCAATTTAACCAGCGTGTTTAATTCCTTACTAACCTCTGTTGTATTTGCCACAGAGCGATCTACTTTGCGGCCTATTCGACAGCCAAGGAGAAGCTGAATGGGATACTGGAGCCAGACTCTACCCAGGTGCACATGGTGTCGGCTGGGATGGCAGGTAATGGTGGCTCCTTCTCCCCCTCTTTTCTGTCTGTTTGTCACTGTCGGTTGCTGAGTGTTATATCTGCCTGTCTGCCTGTCTGTCTGTCTGCCTTGTCTGCTGTCTGTCTGTCTGTCTGTCTGTCTGTCTGTCTGTCTGGTCTTTTTATCTGTCTGTCTGTCTGTCTGGGCAGTGTAAATCACTGATTAGGTTTTATATACAAACATTATTCAGTTTGTCTTCATCAGACAGATTTCATTTTTCTTTATCTTCTCATCTCAGTATCCCAGAGTTTCACATCATTTTTATTTTTACCTCTTAACCCCCCCTCCCCTTCCATATACATGTGTGGGATGGTGGGATCTTCGCAAATTTAAAAGCTTGTGAATACCTAAAGCATGCTAAAGCTAAATAATAATTTCTGTCATAAGTAGTCATTACGTAGCTGTTTCATGTATAGAAATATTAAATATATACGATTGGGGGTTTATCAGAAAGCACAATTTGAGACTCTCAGGATCAAACAGACCTTGATTGTGGTAAAAACATTTTGTTTATTGTGAAAGAAATCCATGTAAGATATATTTATCCATATATAAACACTGTACTTTGTACAATCTACAATCAAATTATTCAAATAAAAAGTGAATCTCCACCTTGAAACCATGCCAGTCACATCTTTGCTACTTACTCTCACCAGCACCCATCTACCAAGATAATACAGTATCTTGTCTCTTCATGGTGGCCTTGCCAGCCCACATACAGCTGATGAGACAAATCCTTGTATCAGCAGTGACAGACTTTAATGCATTAAAACCCACATGATACACAGCACCCAGGCAATTTTAGGCTGTGGTTGATTGTGCTGTATATCCACATACCACATGGTCCTCAAAGTTTAGGTTGTGCTTTCCTCCTCTCCTAGCCCCTTTGTCCCTCTTGTCCTTCATTTTTTTTCCCACCTCTCCATTATTTTTCCTCTTTTTCCTCTTTAATTTTGAGGCCTCTTCAGAGGACTCTGTAAATGGTTTAACATCCCAGTTGTTACTTAAACAGTGTGGTGTGGGCCCCCTTCTTTGCTCTGTGTGTATAGAGGAGAGAGCACGGCCCCGAAAGGTCAACCGGGGCCCCTGGCACTCGGGCGGACACGTCAGGTAGCACCCCATTTCTTTACACTGGTATGATGAAAACCATGGTGATTTTTATGAATATTAGAAAGTTCATAATGGTTATTCATTTGTAATGATATTACCATTGCTTATGGCAGTGTATTTGCTTCTGGTTTGTAGTTTTAGGTTCTTAATATAAGGTTTTTTTATTGCTTAGTCTTGACACACACCCCTTCCCCTTAGCCTGTTGTCTTGTTCCATCAACATAGCAAAGGTAAAGTAATGACATACGACTGTGGATTTTATGTTGTCAGCATAAAAGAAATGCTAACCTTGTCACTGCTACGAAAGGTTGTAATGGATGTGCTCCATTTAGTCTTTTGTCATCATCCATCAACACCATTAGTGCCTCAGTCATTTCTTTTCTAGGAGAATCAGTATCAGTCCATCCAAAAGGCTGCCACTATTTCAACATGACTTCTTCTTTTTGAATTAGTTGGATTTCCTGAATAGAGTTTGCCTTGACAGTTTAACCCCAATAGCCAGTTTAAATCACACAAATTAATACTTGACTGTGGACAAGATGCAGTAAAGGCACAGACATGTAACTGATGGAACCGGGCCAACTTTTGCACAAGAAAAGTCAGTGAATTTTTGGTGAATACGCCCGAAGAATAGGGTAGTTCAACAGCTTGGTAGGATTCATTTATATGAAGTACCTTGAATGAAATACAGGCAAATATCTGTGTAGTTGTACTCTACAGCACACCGTTACTGTACAGATAAACTTATTGTTTCTTTCTTTCATATGCACATATTCCACATGTGTCAGCACTGAGAAGTAGCAGAGTTACAGAAAGCCTTAGTGACTGTACAGCTAGGCTGAATGTCTGGATAATTGCTTCCAGTTTGTAAAGTAACTTTGTGGAGTCACTGCCTCTCATGGCCTCCCTGCTGTGAATTGTGGGCTTCCTTGTACGGCGAGTTCCACTCCCTCCAGCAGTTAATCTAAAGCATGTTTGCCTTCTCTGAAAGTAGGTCAAACTCCTCTGGAGAAATTTCACAAGGATTATGTGTCTATAGAAGGATCATAATGCATGACATGCAGCAGCATGCCCATATGCAGATGCGTCTCTTCAGTGGTTCACTTCAAGGACTAGTTCAAGAACTAGATAGTCTTTATGGGCTAAGCATGTGAGTAATGACAACAACAAACAATGAGTAACTGTAGAAAACTGTTGCCATCTCCAGTGTCCTTTTGTGTGACATTAAAGAGAACTTGTCTAATAACTCATTTAGGATTTTTTAAAATCTGTTTTCTAGAAACAGGCTGGCTCTCTGGAGATGCATTTTTCTCCACGTGCAAGGACGTTTTAAATTTATCCCAGTTTTTCCAGAATAAGGTTTGGTCCAGTGAGTATTTGGGGCCGGTTGAGTTGTATTCATTGTTCCACCTCATTTATTCACTTCGCTGTAATCAGTCACTTAATCCTTATGTCATCACATGTTCATAAAGTCTCCTCACTTCTTTCATCACCATTGTCCACAGCTTAGAGTCTTTTATACACAACGACAAGGTTAGCATTTCCACCTGCCTCACTTTATTTTCTACCTTAATTCATTAAGCATTTAATGCCGTTATTTCTATAATATGTAGATTATAAACTGACAATGGCACAATGATAATGAAGAATACATCTTCAGTTTTATTTTCCTGCCTTTTCCTGTTTGTACTGTACCTCACTCTGGTGAGATAGAGCTGGAGTTTTGGATTGGGTTGGTTTCTATTTAGTCAACCTTTTCTTTACTCCAGTTAAAAGGATTAAAGGGAGAGATACATTGTAATGAAATGAAAGTAAAAGAAATGTAAAACAATTTCATTCAACATATAAATCAAAGTGGATGAGGCTTAAGAGTTGGGATTAGAGTTTGGGGAAAGATGGGGGGAGGTCTTTCCTTCACCTCCCATCTCTTCTCCAATTACCTGTACAATACCAGTGGGTTGGGGTGGGTGGTTGGTTGGTGGGGTTGGGGGTGGTTGTGACTGCTGCTTGTGTGTGACTGTGGTACAGAAAAGCCTGTGTCTATTTTAGGGCTTTACTGTAAAGCTTTCACCCCTGCGTGATTGGGTGGGAGACCCCCGCCATCTGAGCCCCCCATATCTGCAGGCTACTAGCTGCAGCGGGGAGGAGCTGGAGGAGCTTTGCCCCTCCCTCGTGAGTACACGCCATAGACGCTACTTCCTTCTACCTCCCTCTTTTTTCTTCTTCCTCTTTTTTGTTCTTCTCTTCTTCTCTTCAGCAGACCTGTGTCATCTTCTCTTCTTCACGCTGCTGCCTTAATGTAGGGCTGTGTTGCATTGATACACTAGATGTGACTCAGGTCTCTTTATAGACTTGCCCTCATCTATTCTGCAAATGGTTGTGTTTTATTCCTTTATGTCATTTGTATTAGGAACTCTTAGAGAGACCTTGTGTCATTTCATAATGATACTAAGTGCTCATTAATTAGCTTTACACCCTACATATAAAACTTTACATTACTGTAAATTGCCTAGTTTTCCCACTGAATAAAAAACTCAATGTCTGTTCAAATTATCCCCCAGTCAATAACTCAAAACAGGCGCATGCACACACTCACTCGCTTGACATATATTCTGTCTACACAAATGCATTTTTGATGCATTTTCAGAGACCCCATTATTGACTGACCCCAGTTTCAAACTAAGCTAACATTAAGATCGGCTGTGGAGGCAGGTGAACATATAGAACAGGTTTCCCACCATTATTGCGAAGAAAAGACTGCATTAAATTTCTTGTCGGAGACTTTCCACTTCAGTCCTGCTGAATAATTGAAGAATCTCCTCCAGACACCATTTTGTTTCTCTGTGCTGTTGTACTGTAGTTGTGCTAGTTGGGCCAGTATCCGGCCCACAGCCTGTCTCTAGTGTCTAACCAGTTAACCACTGGTTGGTTAAATGTCACAGAATAAAGATAAAGATGTTCAATAATTGACTAATAAACGGGGCACATTCATATTGCTGAATCAACAATGAGGGAAAATTTAGAGCAATATGAAAACTAATAATCAAACCTACTGGCTTGTGACTTGAAGTTGTGTAATGACAGATTTGCTTGTAAAAAGGCCAATACTTGTATGTTAATTAAAAAGCATATTGAGAGTTATATTTAAAAAAAAAACAGACTGTCTCTGTAAGCTATTTAAGATTAACTTAGGTTTTATAGCAAATGATTTTTTATTAGAAACACAAGCTCTCATTAGCATTTCAAATAAATAAATCAGATGGCAGTATAATAATAATCTGTCACACTAAAAGGCCTAAAATTTATTTTTTGCTTGGCCTCATTTCCCACTGTTTAATGTTAGATTTTTTTCAAAAAGATGGTAGATGATAAAAAGAACTCAAAGCTGCTACCTTCTTGCACTGTTAGTTGAGATACTACTTTACTTTAGGAAGAGAGCTGCTGTTTATGTATACCTGTGTAGCATTTCACATGAAGAGGATCGATATGTGAATATGGAAAAGCATGCCTTGTCTGTAAAGCAATTAATGGTTTTCCCCCCCAAAAAACAAAAAATGATTGAATTAATACAGATGTGGATTCAAATCATCTATACAATAATTCTCTGATCCTGTTTAGTGAAGTGCTTTCTCACTGTTCTTGTACAGTATAGAATGCTTAAAGGTCCAGTGTGTAACATTTAGGAGGATCTATTGGCAGAAATGGAATATAATATAATATTCATAGGTATGTTTTCATTAGTGTATAATCGGAATCATTGGGTTTTTGTTACCCTAGAATGAGCCGTTTATATCTACGCGCCTTACATGGAGTCCGCCATGTTGAACCTCCATGTTTCTACAGTAGCCCAGAAGGTACTGCGCAAATACGGGTTTTAGATTGGGGCAATCGCATTTTTGCCCGTTTTGCAGCCAGTGTAGTTTTTGGTAAAGTTGTGATCTGCAACTACACCATTAGATGCCTCTAAATCCTACACACTGGACCTTTTTAATATAGTTAATTTGATTGTGTTCTTAAAAAATATCTCTGCAACTGTCTGAACCTCTGACCTCCTCTAAATTTCCCAGGGTTCACCGCCATCACAGCCACCAATCCCATCTGGCTGATCAAGACCCGTCTGCAGTTGGAAACCAGGTATGAAATCTCAAACCTTAAAGTGTACAAGTGGAATGCGTTGTATGACTTTTTCTACAATATTAATGAGAATAAAATTATATTGTTACTTAGATTAAAATACAATTTGATTTCAGAACCCGGGGTGAGCGGCGAATGAATGCATTTGAGTGCGTGCGGCGGGTGTACCAGATGGACGGCGCGCGAGGTTTCTACAGGGGCATGTCAGCCTCATACGCTGGCATCTCTGAGACCGTTATCCATTTTGTCATCTATGAGAGCATCAAACGTAAACTGCTGGAGTCTAAGGCCCACGCCAGCATGGACGAAGAGGAGGAGTCTGTGAAAGATGCCTCAGACTTTGTGGGCATGATGCTCGCAGCAGCCACCTCCAAGACCTGTGCCACCTCCATTGCCTACCCTCATGGTAACCTTCTGTCTTACTCTTTGTAGTTTTGTTTTTTTCCAAAGGATAAGAATAATATGTTTTTCTTATTGTCAACAAGTCCCACAAAAACATCAAACCCAACAATGTGTTAATCCATCTCTCAATACTTTCTGACAGCCTGTCTGTGGCACTCAGCCCACTATTTCCTACTGAAGATGTAAATCTTTAAAAGCAGGACACAAATATAAACTTTCATTTTTTATGCTAATATATTTCCCAAATTGGCTGGGCACTGTAGTTTTTAATAAATGTTACACATACAGGAGTAAGTAACACATTTGTTGGGGACTCTCTTAATCTCCTCCAAGTGCTCCAGTGAGATTTCATGGCAGCAGGATGATGCATGCAGGATCTGCTCAAACAGTGCCCTTGTTCGTCATAATGGAGGAAAATGTCACCCAGTGCGGCACTCTGCCTAGCTTCAGGCTCAGGTTAAAAATGTGCTCCACTACTCCGCACAGCTGCTCTGCACAGCATTTCAGAAGCTTTGAGCTAATGCCATCAGGACCCGTTGGCTTCCTTGCCTTTATTCTCCTCAGCTCATTTCTAACCCGGTTTGTTGTGAGGGGCAGATTGGGAGAGGGGGGCTGTATGCTGGAGGTTGTGGGTTGCTTAGAGTTTGAGGAGAAAACAACACCATTTTAATGTCTCTTTTGATCAGTTAACACATCTCGTTTGTTAAGTTTGTCTCTAAAGTGTCTAGCTTTACGGGGAGGAAACTGAGAGAGAGAGTGATGCAGGTTTTCTTGAAAAATATCATGATCCACTTGTGCTATAAATATTACAATCATTCTCCACCTACGTGCAGCCCACGGCTGAATGCAACAGTTCAGATACCTTCTCTTAAGATTGTCTGAAGACATTCTGGGACATAGAGAAAGTCAATATCTCTAGTAGCTTATTTACAGTAGGTTAGGATTAGGTAGGTTGATGGACAGCTGCTATACCAAAATATGGATCAATAAATAGCAAGTTTGCATTTAGGGAGACTACACAACACGCATAGGCAAAGTCTGACAAGAATAACTAGCGTCCAGTAGTGTATTTAACATTGTTTTCTCCCTCTACTCTCAAATTGCAGAGGTGATCCGCACACGGCTACGAGAGGAAGGCAGCAAGTATCGGTCTTTCTTCCAAACTCTGCTGACTGTACCTAAGGAGGAGGGATACCGGGCGTTGTACCGCGGCCTCACCACCCACCTCGTCAGACAGATCCCCAACACCGCCATCATGATGTGCACCTATGAAGTGGTGGTCTACCTGCTTGGCCGTTAGCCCACCAGGTATGTCTCCCTCCTGTTTAAAGAGGGAGACAGTTAGCAGATGATTGGCGAGGAAAAGTGAGGACAAAATGTCAAAATGAAGACCAAAGGAAGAAAAACTAGTGGACCAGAAGAGGACAAATGGACAGAAGATGAAGCCCTTTGTTACCATATCTGCATCATCACCTCCACTTCCCTTTATCAGACTGATAGAGGGTGCTACAGATCACAGAAGAGGTAATATGGGTAGGACGAGAAAGGAGGCACTGACAGGAAAGACACAGAACGAGTTTGGCACCTGTTAAACAAAAGGTACCTCTGAAGGAAAATAAATGAAGCACAGTTCAGTGGCCTTAATGGAAAGGGTTTTAGTTTGCGTCTTCTGAAGCAAAGAGTGAAAAATTGCCTTTTCACTCTCGGATAGGGATATTGTGAAAGGGGAATGCTTGGAGGCAACGGAATTTGACAGGAAAGATGATAACTGAAATGTAGGTAAATTTCAATAATCCAAGAACCTCTACTTGGCACTATTCGTCTGCCCTTGCTTTAGTGCTGTGAGACTACTGTACGATTAGATAACTGGCAGTTAAGGAATGTTCATTGAAAGAAGAATGTCAGAAGGAAGTTGGCATTTAAAAACAAAGACATGAGTCTGTTTTGAGGTTACCTGAACTACCCGTCTTTGCACTACAGAAAGTGAGGCTCCAAGTATTCCCCTCTGAACACTGCAGTCAACACCCCCTCGGTGGCCTGAAGTTCATACGTAGCAGTGAGCTAACTGGCCAAACACAAGAAAACACAATGATGAGCTTGTGACGGCCTGCCACTCGAACACATGCCTCAGAAACCAGCACGTGTTCGATAAAGAGTGTGTTGAAATGCTGACTTGCTCATTCAGCCTTTTATTCCTCTACAGCTCGGTGCCTGGTGGTGACATGCTTCAGCTGAAGTTGGCCTTCAGTGTTGGCAGTTTCTCTTTGTTCAAACTCAAATAAGACGAGTATACAAGGCCAGCTTCTGCCTGCACACAGTCACTGCTCAGGAGGACTTTAAAATCTTGTGTGAAAACATGAGACTAATGTGTCCTTTTTTGAGATGTGAAGTGTAATTGTCCAAAAGGTACCAAGACTTAGTACTATTGGAGTGCCACTACTTGAATATAATGTGACGGTGTGGGGAAATGTTGGAGTGGGAGAATGTTTATGGAGTTTCATCATCACCCCGTGTGTGTGTGAGTGTGTATGTGTGTGTCTTACTTGTTGGTCACTTTCACAGTGATAATCTAACTATGAAGGTTAGGGTTAGAGTGTGTGTGTGTGTGTGTGTGTGTGTGTGTGTACTTGTGTGTCTACAGTCATGTGTGCCTGCATGTATAATTAATATCTACTCCAGATTTCCCTCCACTAACTATTAATCTTGCGAGACACTGCGGTTGCGAGTGTGGAGAAGCACCTGTGCGATACTGGCAGCTTTTCATTCCCACTCTCATGCCAGTCCTTTCTTCTAGTGGCTTCCAACTGATCTGATAACATGCACTTTTGTGGCCTTTTAGGGCTTGTGCTTTGCATTTTATTGTGTGGACAGTTTGAACTTGTACATTGTAAAAGAAAAAAAGTATTACTGTATATCAAAATGGTATTTTGCATTTTCTGTTCTTATAGCAGATATATTGTACAGTTTAGAGTTCTCAGTAGTTGTGAAGGATGTCCAAATGTGTGTGTGTGTATATAATATAGATCCTTTATATGCATATCATTTGTTGCTTTTCTCTCAGACCCATGTATGATCATGCTGTAGTTTGCATTTGCAAATTATTGCTTTCATTTATGTGCAATTTTGACATGGATTGTTGATATGAATATTGATATTGCTTGGCTGATTTTTCTTACAGTATAAATTGTGTTTTTTTTTTTGTATGTGTATGTTGCTGTCATGCAAACATTTGTGCTTACATGAAAGCTGACAAATGCTGCAGGACAAATACTTTCATGTAAGCGTTTGTGCTGAAGCATTGGTCATTTTACGGCATTCATAAAAAGTGTTCCATTTTGTAAAGTTTGTCATTGGTAATGTTTACATTGTTCATTAGTTTCTGTCAGATTATTTTTGGTTCTCCAAGCAACGTGTTTTGAAAATCAAGATTTTTTTTTTTATAGTATTTTAATGTAAGAGCTCGAGAACTGATATTGTGCTTCTACAACACTGTACAGAGTACCACAGTGTGTTGGGACTGTTAAAAACTGAATTAAAGAGATCCAGAACTTGCTAAACTAATCTAACTAATACTGAGGACGGTTGTTGGTAAGAGACGGTAAATGTACCCTTTAAATGATCCATTCAAAAAGTTAATACAGCATACATAAAGATTGATCTTTTCAAATTGTATCCAAGCACCTCTTATATTGTTTATTATCAAAACAGCCTTTTTTACTTGACTTTTAAAACTTCTGTTGAGCAGAGAAAAGCCGTCCCTCAACACCCTCTCTGATCCCAGTGGTCTCACTGCACACTGCTACATATGGAAATGATAAAGACTGCACAGTTTCCATGTTTAAAAGTATTGTTTATTTCATCAATTACAGGAAATCTGGTGCGTTCATGTTGTTGAATGCTCTCGTTTTTTCCACACTTGTTGCTGGATCCTTTCAGAGGCAAACCAAGGCCTGTGTTGTACCTTGTTATAGTTATTGATTTTCAGTCTCCATTGACATGTTGCTAGCCTATAGTTGCTGTCGGTGCTTGAAAAAAACAAATTGCTGACTGAGCAATAGCTTTTATCTCTGGCTTCATCGCAGTAGTACTTGAGGTCAAATTACCAAAATGTGACATAAACAGACAACTGGACAAACGGTGCAAACATTTCACTTTATTTTTTACCTCTCATTTCAGTGTCTGTATGCAATTCAATATCTAACCTGTACGTTGGACAGGACGCAGCCTCAAGAAGGGTTGAATGAAACCTGGAACATTGGTTTTTGCCAGCTCAATCATTGATGTATTTTTTGTTTGTTTGTTTGTTTTTTAAACAAAAAGTAAATAAAAATCCACTTGTAACTAAAATTATATAAGCTTTTGTTTTTTTTATCTATTTGTTTTCTATTCCTTGATTGATTGATTTGTTGTACAGGTATTTGCAGTTTGTATCAGAGTCAAAAAGAGGACAGTCTTGTTTGAATGTTAAGATAATTAATGAATTGTAAAAAATTGAATTCAGTTATACTGTATATAGTCATAATAATAATAATAATAATAATAATAATAATAATAATAATAATAATAATCCTTTATA